CCTTGACCTTAATAAAACCCTTGACCTTAATAAAACCCTTGACCTTAATAAAACCCTTGACCTTAATAAAACCCTTGACCTTAATAAAACCCTTGGCTTTAAACATATATATGTTATTAACCTTTCATATCGAACAGACAGACGTGAAAAAATGGAAGCGATTGCGCATAAACTTGGCTTAAATTTTGAATTTTTTGAAGCCATTTCCAGTGATAATGACGAAATTCTAAACCAGTTTAAATCTACAAACCTTACTTCTCGACACAAGGCTTGTTATGTAAGCCATTACAAAGTATATGAATCAATTGTCCATAATGGATACAGTGATGTTTTGATTTTAGAAGATGATGTTGATATTGAAATGGATATTATATCAATTATGAACGAAATTTTCCATATTTTACCCACTGACTGGGAAATGTTATATATTGGACATTGTGCTCAAGAGGATATTGGTGAATTTATAGCCGAAACAACTTCCAACTTTAAATTATACAAATCTACAAGACCGCCTTGTATACATGCATATGGCATCACATCTTCCGGTGCTCGCAAGCTTCTAAAAGAACTTATCAATCCATCAGAGCCGGTTGATGTAGAGATAATCCGAAAAATTACCTCAGGGATCATTACTTCATATAGTTTGGAACCAAAAGCTATCGTACAATGGAAATCTAGCGATAATCCATCAGATGTCTCTCCTGGCGACGTTCAGTGGACATATCCTTTAAAAAATTCTACTTTACATTCCCTTGGATATAAAGAAACATGACGATATATATATATTTTTTATAAAATCATCTATTGAGAAATTTTGAATCCAAATCTTTCAAAATAAAATGTCTAAAGGTGTCGGTATTCAGACGTTTGAAATTTTATTTGGATTTTTAAATAAAATAATTAGTAGCAGTGTTTGCCATTTAGGTCATATCCAAATTTACATGACCATGGTCATAATGCAATAGTAAATTTTATAAGTCATAAAAGGTTATGAGGACATAACCTAAAATTAGACAATAAGTCATAATGATCGTTAGCCCAACACTGGCTAATAGTGTATGCTATTCATTTTCACAACTATCTATATAAACTAATAAAATTCTCTACAAATGCATCATCTTTATTTATAAAGGTTCTGTATTAATAACTATGCAATAATAAAATTCGAAAACGATATAAATAACTGCTTAAGACTTTAGTATTCTTAATAGTGGGTGCGCTTCAGTGTTAAATACATATGCATCTAATGAAATAGTATCTGGTGGACTAAATAATAAATATAAATATTTTAAAGTTTCTGCAAAAAAGAAGCTAAAAAAAAGAAAAATTATTATACTTATATTGTTTACAATTGAAATTTTAAAGTAAATTTATACCTTTCCATTTCATTATTTTTTAGTCCATCTGCAGAATTTACATCCTTAAGCCCGGAATATCCTGCCGGAGTTTCACACCATTTTACAATAGACTTAATATAATAATAGCGAAATTAAACAAAAGAAAAGTAAAACCATAAATATCTTGAAAAAATTGCAAACCAAAATATTACCTGCCATATTTCCCATCCTTTCTCTTGATACGTTTTATTGCCTGTTATCCTATATAAAATAAATAGACGCTCTATAGTTTCTACCAAAAAAACCAGTCATATAAGAATGTATATGTCAACTGATATACGGAGAGATTTTAGTTAAGCGTAAATACCTGGTCTCAAATAATATTTAGGGTCCATTTTATATACATCAACCGGAAGATTTTCAATTTCATGCTGAGTTTTTGATTGTGTGTCGTTAGTCAAAACCCACATTATTTCAGGTGCAATTTTAGTATGAGTTGATATATATGCCCAATAACATGTTTCTGCTAGCCTTATAGCAATTTCAAGGTCTTGAGGACGGTTAAGAACTTTAGCGCCTATACCAAGCATTCCTGGAACGAAACACCCCTAATGAATTATAGAATAGTATAAATATATATTTTGAATTATAATATAGTTTTAGCAAATTTACCAAATGTTCAAATGCCCCAGAAAAAATGTTATCAGATAATTCGCCTAAGATTAGACGATTTTCCACTACGCTTTCTCTAATTAAGTATTTTTTCATGCTTTCAACAGATTCAACATCTGGATTATGATTAGATAAGAATAATGTGACCAATACAAGATTTAGCTGCATAAAACAAGTACATACACATCCTCCTGTATTGATCAAATGCGCCTCCAACATATATATACACTTTGATTAGATATTCATAGAAACTATCACCACCTCCTCCAAACTTAATGTAATCTAATATGTTTGTTAGTATAATTGTAATGAAACACAATTAATTTTAACTTACGTACTTCCAATGAATTCACCGGTTTCTGAATTGATAAATATAAATAAATAATTAAATTGATACATAATTTAGAAAACATTAAAAGTCACAGCTTGATCGATGTCAATTGGATATAATCCAGGAATTGACTTGTTCATTTTATCAAGGATGTCAATTATACGTTGCGCCTTTTATAATCCATAAATAAATCATATCGATTAGATAAATTAGTAATAATTTTCTAACTAAAGGATAGAAATAAGTTTTAAAAGTAAATTCACTTACATTAAAAAAAAATTTACTATCTCCTGTAAGTTGCGATAATTTCATAAATTCCAATTGCATGCTACCAATTTCAGCCAACCGAACTCTCTTTTTCTTCATGGGACTTCTAAGATAGCAAGTTAGCAGCTTAAAGTAATTTTATTTTACTAAAACTAAATACAATCACTATACTTAACTGGATAAAATCACCCAACTGATTAAAATCATCATACTTAATAGGATGTAATAAATTATGTGGCAATCCGCTCAAACTTTCGAATGCTGGTAATAAAGCAATGCCTAGTTCATATGCTTTCTCTAAAAATATCTTATCCTGAGAAAGTTCATGTGCACTCAGTAATCCACCTAAATATCGGATTATGGTTTCAAACACATTAATATTATCGACAGTCTTTGTAAAATTCAAATTTTTAACGAAATCTCTTGATCGATTAAATTCTGCTTTTAAGCCCATAATCCACATCGTATCCAATGCGTCAATTATTGTCACTCCCCAGCCATTAAAATTATTTTTGCTAGAATTCGTTACGGACTGTAACATATCATATCCCCATGCATATTTGGTATATCCGTTCCAAGCATGGAGGAATCCATTCTTTATGGAATCACGACGAAGTTCATTTAACAATGTTTCGTCTGTAGATTCGCTTTCAGGGAAATTATATTGAATTTTAGGAAGATTAGAAACATTAGGAAGAAATGCCTCTGACCAAAATTCATATGAGATCGCATCATTTGGCCATCGCAGATTCTTAAAAATATATTTATGCCCCTCAATATTTAAAATTTGATATGCTAACAGCCCACCAATAATGGTAACAATAACGGTTAATTGAAAAGCAATTAACATCCGTTTTCTGACTCGTAACATTTTTTTTATTCTATGGACATTAAGACAAAAACAAGTAACACAAATTATACTGTATTCAGAAAAAATTCGATTTATAAATGATTAACGGTTGTAGCACAGCATTTATTCAAGGATAAGGTTCAGTATTTGAGATTGGAATAACCCGGTTTTATCGCACTTTTCAAATTAGTGTGACCCCGACGATCATCCATCACTCTGAAAATTAGAAAATTTCCAAATTTTAGGCGATAATTAATTGTTATTGGATGCGAAGCATTGTCACGACAAGAGAGAGACTTTACAACTGCATTGCCAATTTAACTACTGGTCGCAAGCATTAAACATGCATGCTCAAATGTACAAAGACAAGAAAATACTCAAAATGTAACCAATACAAGAAAGGATCCTCCTTTATAAATTTTCAATATATGGGGTCTTTGCCTTGAAAATCAAGTTATGGGACATAGTAAATCATAGCACAGGTTTTTTTCGTAGTTTTACCGGCTGCCCTTGCGTCGAAAGTGCGTCAGGAGTACGTCGAGCGTAACCCGG